TGTAGTGCATTGCATCTTTAACACAAACACAATCAAAACAGTTTTCTTTTTTGTTTTGTTTTTATTAAAAAGTAATTCAATAAACATCTGAACATACAATATAAACAATTTGTAGCTATACTAGGGGTATTTACAGCTCTTTGGTCCGCAGCTTTTTAAATCGATTATTGAATATACTTGATGATATTGATTAAAAGCTCTCATCCTATTTTCCCCATTTTATCATTTGGAAGGAGCTCAAAACTGGCCGAGCCCAGCTCTGTGGTCGCCCAGCTGTTGTAGCTTTTCATGGTTTAATGAATATTCAGATTCTTGCTACAGAAGCAGATACATGTACATTAAAGTCTGTGGGTGGCATCTTTGTGGAGTCCCATATCTCCCCTTCTTTCATGGGCTCCAGCCGTGATGTTTCTGCCACAAACTGCGGTCCATATTCACATTTCTCTCCTCGAGTCTTCCCCATTGCAGTTCTCCTGACCTGTAATGGATAAAAACAGCATTTAGACATAAAGTCACCTTGAGTCCCCTCTTTCACCTCCTCCCAGTTCAGTTTGTGAGATTTATGTCCTCTGTTCTTCGTAAACACTAATCACACACACGCTTTTCCTGACTGCCAACCTGCCGGCCACGTAGCCTGTTTTTGTTAGGCTCTGCTCATAACCTCCTGCTATATATGAACACATGCATGAGTGAATGTCTCTTACCTCAAGGGAAGGGTACTCTGGAGTGCAGAGGCAGGCAGCGTCTGTGTGGGCAGTGGTGTCTGTGGTATTTTTTCCTCAGGTTCAAGAAATCTGGAGTAAAAGAGATGGTTTGATTGTAGATGTAAACAGATATTTAATTAAATTAGACTGCTATCAGGCAAATAGCTGCTCATTCATGCGGTCTGCAGGTGGATGCCTGGCATATATAATTTTGAACCTTCTGCAACTCTATAACCTCTCCTGACCACTTTAAGAGTTTCTTTTCTTTATTGCAACCCATTTACAAACAGCTGGGACACACTCACCTAACACGTGATTATTTTTATACGTCCCTAATAAATCCAGACTGCCAGCCAAGCCCAGGAAGAGATAAACCGCCAGATGACTTTATGACTCCCCTCCCACCCTCTCTGCCTGTACCTCTGAAAGAAGCTGCCCCCCACCCCACCCTGAAGGTAGCCTGCTTTATACTTGCCACTGCTACTCCATGTCATGTAAATAAAGCGCGGGTATTTGCATGAAGTTTTAACACTGTCATTAACAAAAGCGCTCCGGAGCGCCTTCCAGCCGGGGACAAAGAGCCCACCGGTCCGCTTTGCGGATACCCCGGCGGCGCTCCGCTGTCCTCCACTCCTCCTTTTATCCTCTCATCATCGTGTCCTCGCCATCAGCACATGAACCTATATCACGACCCGAGGCACAAAACCTCCCCCTTTAACAGCAGCCGCCCCCTCCCCTTTTTTTTCTTTTCTTTTCTTTTTTTTTTTTTTGCATCTGCGCAAAGATAACCGCAAAAAAAGTCGAGAATTTGCGGGGGAAAGCGCACCTGCTACGAGGCAGGAACACTAAAACGTTTTTTTTTCCTTATTACAGATGGGGGGTACTTATTTGTGGTCAGGCTAAAAGGAGGCTTTAAAAAGTGCTTTTCCTGCATTATGCGAAATCAATAAAAACCGACACTTAATTATCAGTGTCACTCAGCTGTAATTTGTTTATGAGACTGGAGCCTTTGAGCTGAGGAAGCTTGATTCCACCACTAAAAGTTTCATTTATTTATTTCCAAATAGTCAAAAAAAAAGTTTGACCTAATAACTCAAAACTGAGAAAAATAATTTCAAGTTACCGGGTGAAAATCTTTGAGATAATAACTGTAAATATTGACTATTTAACTTTTTCACAACAAGCAGTGAATGCATCACCACTGTTATAAAGAAGTAACATCCCGTCAATAATTGGCCGTCAAATTATCTCGCGCACTTTTAACATTGCTTAGGTTAAAACAGAAAAATAAACGAAACTTTTCTATTAAAAGTTTTAAGTCTGTTTAACTCATAGGGTTAAGCTAATCTGTTTTATTAGTGACAGTTAACTATAGCTAACATAGTCCAAGCTTGTTGCCATGGATGCGAGTTTAAGGGTCAGTGCGCAGTGATTCAGAACGCTGCTGACCGGGACTATGTTTTGGTCCATGTAACTGGTTGTAAAGCTTTATTTATGTATTTATTTTTCTTTTTAAAAAAAAAAAAAGTTTTATTGTACCTAGCAGACATTACTAACATTAACGTTCAGATTTATAGGCGTCCCCCTTTAAATGGACACCTCTGGGTGGTGAAGTCTGAGGACGCTTACCTGGCTTGGCAGAGGAGACCGATGCTGCCATGACTGCGAGCAGCATGAGAAGGTAGAGCAGGTTGAATATCCTCATAGTTAGGTGGCAGCTGGTTTCAGGAGCTGAAACTTATGATAATTTTCACAAATAATTCCGGAGAGTCCCTGTAGCTCAAATCCGGACTGGACTGGAGATGCTGAGTGTCTTTCAGATTTGCCCCTCTTCTCTTTTCTGTCAGGAAATCCTCCTCTGGGAGAATCCAGTACGAACAAGTAGATCTCTTCTGAGGATAATCGCTATGTCCCTGAAGGAATGTCTCTGTGTCTGAGAGCGAAGTGACAAAGGTGCTTCTCCCCCTTCCTCCTTTATACAGCCTTTTTTAGAGGGAGGGGGGCTGGGTGGGTAGTTCCCACAACAGCCCCCCCCCCCCATACACACACAAAACTCTCTATCCCTCAAACACACACACACAAACACACATTTCGGCACATATTGACCCCACATGTAGAGGGGTAATTCAAATGACAGGAAGCCCCCTCCGTGCACCCTGAACTGCCCCTTGAACACACACTCTTGTGCTGCATGCTGTATTTTGTGTGCGCAAGTGGCTGATATTTTCAAAGAGAGCGGAGTGAGCAGGCAGGGAAGATTTATCACCTGTAACATTAGAGCAAAGATTTAAGAAGCTGTGACTGGAAATAGCAGGTCCTCCAAGAACCAGATCCCGCCTGGCTCTCTCCTGCTCCCCAACAGATGAAGACACACACACACATGCGCACACACACACACACACACACACACACACACACACACACACACACACACACATATATACATCTGGAGCTTTTGGGTGTTGAGGTGGTGGGGGCAGTTTTGGGGGGCAGCGGTCCTCCGAATGAAATCTAGGGGACGGCAGACTAATGATGACCAAAGACGTCTTAACTGTCTGTGTAGATCTTGTACTGTCTCTGAGTGACAGCATGAAGGCCTGCCTCTGTAATGTTGGCTTTTAGTTGGTTGTTTCTCTCATCACATGGATAAACCATTACAGTTAAAAAAAACAACCCACAATATCCAGGTGAACTTGATAAATATCTTATAGCACAAGGATAACCAGAGAAGTAAACAAAGCATTCTGTGGCTAACTTATATAAAGATTGTTTAGTTATTCTTATTTTTCTGGCGTCATCCGATGAGAGGGAGCAGCAGAACCTCAGCAAGGATTTTTAGAGTGGGAAGGGGGAAGGGATAAAGTCTGGATTTTTAACTGCATCACAGCTTTTCCCACTGATAAAATACATTATTATTATTATGCCAAAAATGATTAAATAATCATTAAATAATATATTTTTTTACAATGGATCCACGGTGAAATTAAAAATGAATACATAAATCAAATAAAGCAGAACTTTGCACATTTAAAAGCCCAAAGAGTGGTGCTGACAGGTTTTTCATTTACAATAGCAGCATTTCTCTCGGCTTTGCTTCTTTTGTTTGGTTTTGGTAAAAAGAGTCTGTATTGTATAAGCGCTGTTTTTATTATGCCACATTCCAAGAAATATCCAGCCCTGCGTGGGTATCCGGGTAGCCCATCGTTGGGGTTTCCTGCAGCAGGTAACCCACTTCACTTGGCATTAGCTCTGCAGTCACCGGCTGCGCGCGGGGGGGACTCATTAGTGTGTCTGCTGACGGCCGTCTCTGTGGACTGAGTCTCTCCATTCAGCACCCAGCTAATGAATTAACACATTAAGATGAAATGTCAGCCGTTACATGTGAATGAGGATTAGAGGAGCAGCAGGACACTAATGGACCGCAGGGCTTGAAACAGTCAGAGAGTCTCTGAACGAGCACCTGGGCCGTCAGCTCCTTCAGCTCTCAAGAATAAAGCCAAGGCCAGGGTCTTTGTGTTTTTTAGTGTTGTTTGTCGGTGTCGCATTTTGAAATGTTGCCTTTTATTGCTTTATGATGTTTGCAAAAATGCTCCTTGAAATGACAGAGATTCTTCCCCAACAACACACAAACACACACATTCATCCTGCTGCAAACACTCTGCTGAGGTATGTAGTTTGTTTCTGTGGTGAGCTGCACTTTGCATATCAGCTGCCTTTGTCATTTAAAAAACTTTTATTTTCCCAATTTGAATATGCTTATTTGGTCTCAATTGTCATTCACAGCCACCTGGTATCCACTGCCTGCTAACTCCTGCCAGACCTCTGCCTCTCTGTGTTCCTTACTTTCTGTCTACCTGCCCTTTGGAGTAAGAGAGTAAGATTCATACCAGATTCTCCCACCAGGTCTTCGCTGCAGAGCGTGTTGTAATAATTTGCCCTTATAAAAGGGATTATTCGTGTTTACGAGGATTATCCAGCCTGCTTGAACACCCCCCCGTGAGAGAGGCACACACAGACTGGGCGAGCTCTCACATTGCTGCAGTACCCTGGCAGGGCTGCAGGTGAAGCTTGTTCTTTTGTGGCGTGAGAGCCATCTTTGGTTACTTAAACAGTGCAGTGCATTTTTGCATTGTATGAAGTGTTTAACAAACAACAAGCCCAAGATAACATGTGAAGATAATGAGTTGACATCGATAAAAACAGAACAGCTGCAAATCCACTTTTGCTGTGGAAATGACTGAGAAGGATGAGCATTTATCTAAATTGTTTCTTTCTGCTTTGCTAAAACAGCATCAGGATGTGTGCTTTATGTGTTCATGTGTGTGATGGAAACCATTTGGAAAGTGGATTTACCTCTCTGAGTGTAAAGTAACCAAAATGCTGTCTTGCTACTTGTATCTGCGCTAAAACATCAGCCTCTTTTTGGATTAGAGCAAGAATTTTATTAGCTGATTAAATACTTTTTTTGTCAGTATTTTTCAAGCAAAAAGTCTCAAAAAATTAAATTAGACAGACTACTGAAATTGTAAAACTCAAAAGTCTGAGTTTGGGCAGTTAGTCCAGCATAGCAGTAAACGTTAAAAGATTTTTTTTGACATTTCAGAACCATGATGTGACTAAATGAGGAAAAATAGCTGGTAGCAAATTATTTGCAGCCTTATGTGTGACCATTTATTTGAAGCATTCCCAAGTACCAGCCCTGTTATTAATCCCGTCGCTCAGCGTGCTCATATTTTAGTCCAATGTGTGCCTGAACTCAGCAGGCAGTGTGCTCTGAATTAGTGTGCAGCTCAGAAAACAGTTGGACTGCAGGGCTGCTGTTATTACGAGTGTTAACAGCAGTCCTGGTTTTCCCAGCAGCTGTACTGACTTTACAGCGTCTCCTCCCCTCCTCTTAAAGTTTCACTTTCTTCTTTTCCTCTGTCATCATCTCTTGACCGGGATCAGCAGATAAGGAGCTTTCTTTATCTCTGACAAAACTTGCTCGGAAGAACAGTGCTCCATAAAATGCCCCTGTAACTTTTGGACTTGGGTGATCATTAGCACATATCATTAAAACACTGAAATGGTAATATAAGGTACATGCTGTAGATGGGTGACCAGTAGAACTTTTTAGTGAGGTTTTTTCCCCATTGAGCTTCCAGATCACCGTTCTTGAAAGTCTTTTCAACTTCGCTGGAGGCATAAACAAAAGACAGGTCATCCTCTCAGTTCCTTAACACACTATTTTCAAACATTTATCTAGCGCACAGTTAATGTGGCAAATCAACGCCCACTTTTTTATACTTGATATCAATCACATAGGTCGATACTGATGTTTAGTTGATGTACAGCTGTAGATTTGATGATGGTTGAGGATCTGGTGATTCTCTGTGCCACAGTTTTTAATTTGCATTAGAGAAAGAACAAAATAAACCCAATAAACTTCCCATCTTTATTTTCAGACTATTCATACACAACTGCCTTTTACATTAGAACACAGTTATATTAAAAAATCATGAGCAGCGGGACTGCTCAATGGTGATATTGAAATATTTCATGACCAATATAACACAGTATTATGATTTATCAAGGATTTATTTTGCTAAAAACAAAGATACCAGAACCAGTCGGTTTAACGGAAATATTTAGTTATAAATATTTTTCATCGTAGGTTCTCAGATGTAAATATTTAGCAGTTGGGCTACATGTTATGATAGAAAGCTGAACACATTTCCATTGTACACACTGCTGGTTGTTCAAGAAAGACAATGTGAATGAGTTCTGAATTTCTGGGAAATTTCTGGGTGATTTGATACAGAATGGATTACATGAGAAAATAATGAAGGCCAATATAGGCATATAGGTTGTTATAAGCCTTGTTGCAAATACTGCTGGGCTGAAAATAAAATAAAAACAAATATTGGCATTATAAGACCACAATTTCACAAATAGTCCAAAGATTGCATATAATTATGACCTCCTTGTGCTTTATATGGAAGAGTTTATGTTTGTTTCTTTTTAAGAATGATCACCCCTCTCTTTATAGGATGGTTTGCACGTGAGATGTTTCCATAGTCTAAGGTCTTATGAATCAAAGAGCTGACGTGATGGCCGGAGCTTGTGTGGGTTGTTCTGTTTCTCATTCAGGAGCAGAGTGTAGGTGATGAAACGAGTGGCCATAGTTGAAATGTGCCGTGATGTCTGAATTTGTAGGGGTGTGTCCTTGCCCTTGTGTCTGTGTGCACGGGTGTGGATTGTGGCCTGGTGAGTTCATTGACCATCATTAGAGTGATAGTGGGTCTGTTGTCATGCCACAATATCGTCAGTGTTAATGAGGGCTGTAGCCATCCAGCCAGAGCTTAATTACTCTGAAGACCCTTTATCTCTTCAACAGCCCAATACTAACCTCAATGGCTGCATATACACATGAACAGGAGTACACACACACACACACACACACACACACACACACACACACAGGATCATCATTACACACCAAAGACGCTGGCTTTAAAAGAAAATCTTCCTCAGTTGCTTTATTCTGGAGCTCCTCCTCCGCTTCATGTCAACAGCTAGACGGCTGACTGCAGAGGAGTGACGGAGGGCTTAAGGGTCGAGGGGCATTCTCCACAGGGAGCAGCCTCTAACCCCCTGGGATGTCACCCCACGAGGGCTGCAGGGGCCGAAAGTCACTTGGTTTGTTAAATCCTAGACAAGACATCACGGCTTGTCAGAGATCTGTGCATCAGTGTTCGGCTCTGTCTGGTTCTTCAGCTCCACGGCATTTAACTCTACCTATTTTTCTGTGGCCTCAGTTCAGAATTCAGCTGATGCTTTTTTTAAACTGTAGATGGAGCTAAAGAGCAAATTATCATAGAGGAAAGAAAAGATGTGGTGTTACAGTGATAAACTGTACAAACAGGATCTTTGCTCTACAAGTTTATCTAATCGTCCTCTCCAGATACCTGAACAAATACGCTGAGATCACATTATGCTGTTAGCAATTTGTGTTACACTTCTAAATGATTACCTTCAGCCTTATAACAATACTCATAACTTACGAAGCTGTATAATTAATAGGGTACAGTTTATTGCCACCTTATCTTTATTGTGGGAACCTACTGTAATGGGCATTGCGTCAACACTAATACAAAAAAAAAAAAAGAACAGTAAGCGGTGTTTTCAGTTTTGCCTTCACTCAGCTGGGGTTTATAATGTTTGCTTTATGTGTTCTGTCCAGCTTCTTTGATGATCACTCTCTGCTTCCTGTTACATGGCTGCAGTTTCTTCACTTCATAGACATCTTTTTCTGAGATAGAGCATAGATAATCGGCGTTAGAGAGGCTGACGTTGGTTTCTGTGGTGATATCAGAGGCTAAATGTGTACCTGGCCGGGCTGCCTGTGGTTGAAAACAGACTGAAGCCAAACTGAAGAGAGTGAAGATGATGAAGGCAACGATGATGAAGGTCAGCTCAAAGCCAGTGAATGGCAGTTCCATCTACACAACTATACAACACAAAACAGGACTCATTTATACAGAGAAATGAAGAAATTACTCTTTGCCACAGTGTAGCTTCACTGTATAATTTTATGCTCAGGCACAGACAGAGCTACCACACAGGCTCATTTCCACGCCTAAAGCTGGAATTACTAAACCCACACTGGCAAAGCTGGAACATGCAGACTACTCATAGAAAGGATCTCTTTTTTTATTTCTTTGCACAGTCGAGGAGCGTATCAGGTCACATTTCAGTGCGTGTTATACCTGTATAACCATGCGCGTGACAAACAAACAATCTTGAATCTAGCTCACTAAACTTCTTGCTTCTAATTATACAGTCACCAACCAAAAAATGTTGTTGATCTGATGGATATAAATTTTAGCTGCAACATTTGGGTCACAGTTTGGTGTGGTGTGAAAGCATGGATCCATTTTGCCTTGTATCAACTGTTCAGGCTGCTGGTGGTGGGAGATGTTTATTTGGCATGCTTTAGCCCCATTAGTACCAACTGAGCATGTTTTTAAATGCCACAGTCTCCCTGAGTATTTTTGCTGACCATGTCCACTCTTTTATGATGACAGTGGACCTATCTTCTGGTGGCTGCTTTCAGCATGATAACACACCATGTCACAAAGGTCAAATCATCTCAAACTGCTTTCTTGAAAATGACAATGAGCGCATTGTACTCAGGTGGCCTCCACAGTCACCAGACCTGAATCCGATAGAATGTGGTTGAACGGAAGATCAGTATGTGCAACCGACAACTATCAGCTGTGTGATGCTATTGTGTCAGTATGAACAAATCATCAATCAATATCAGGTTGAATTAAAGCAGCACTGTACCGCAAAATGAATACTAACATGTACCTTATGAAGTGGCTGCTAAGTGTATACTTCTAAGATTAAGTTATGGACTATGTGTATTCATGAAAATGGAGCGCATTTTAAAATATTAAACAGTTTAATTCTCTGTAAACTGCCCAGCAAATCAGGCTGTAAGTGAGTTCAGTAGACGATTTTTTTTTAAAAGGCTTTTGCAATTCTTCGAGTGCAGTTCTGCGTGCACTGCCACCAGAGGGCTGTATAAACTTGGAATTGGCATTACATTCGAGACTTCTCTGCTTTATATTCAGCTTGAAATGTGAGAATTCACACAACCTCAGCAGTATCACCTGCTGGGTTTAGAAAGTTAAGAAATGTACAGTGGTTTCGCAGTATGAGTGGCAGGCTGAAACTCCAGGCCGGGCTCCCATGAATAAAACAGTCAGTGTGAAAAATCAAAGAAAAAAGTACAGTCACTGAAGTTTCAGGGACTTTCTGTGAACTTAACATCAGTGAATACATTTTTAATCTTCAGCAGAGTTTCAGAATCAAACATCCTTTATTATATTCTTTTTGTTTTAACTCTTTAGCCATCACGTGTCAGGTAAGCAAAATAGTTATAGATTTACATGTTTATGAAAACACGGCTGTCAAACAAGAGCTGGTGCTGAATAACAGAGCATTTTTATGTTGTCACAGACAGGCTGAATGAATCAGTGTAGCCGACCACAGATGGCCTGTGATTCCTACATTTTTCTCTCTGTAAATGTAGGCATTCACACTAGCGATAGCCTTTGAGCCTTGGCACAAGTGATTCATACTTCTCATTTCAATAGAGTGATCAGATGGCTCGCTCACAACCTGTCAAACACACCTTTTGTTTTTGACCTAGATTTTTCAACTGCCTTCCAGTATCAAAGGTAACCGTCAGTGGGTAGAAGAAAACATCCTTGAGCAACTCAAAGAGGAGGTACAAGAAAAGAGTGAATAAGAAGAAGAGCAGGTACGGTTAAGCTTTTAAAACTTACTGGTAGAAGCAGCTGCTTTCAGTTCTAGGTTAGATAAAATCCTTCTGTCTTCACACTCTCACAAAGAAAGCAGGCGCGAGATACTGACTTGACAGTGTTTGTTAAAGCAGGCGTTTCTTTGTTCAGTCCTTTTTTTTTTCTTTTACAATGTGTAGTGTAGGCCACTCCCCTATGGCTCATCCTGGAGGATGCAAGATCCTTTAACAAAGTACACATGCACTTGTGTTCAGAGGTTATCAGTTCAACTTTTTGTCTGGTAACCAACAGGTTCACACACAGGAGGGGGCTTTGACTGTCACATTCTCAGAGGGCTGCTTTTCCCCTGTGAATCTTCTGTATCTGAATCATAACCCTCATCAAAGTCAGACAGTCAGCACATCGTTTTGTGGGTTTGTGTTAGTCGCTGCAGAAAATAGAAACAGAAAGTTAATTGCTTTGGTTTTTCACCTCAAAATGCAATACTTTATCACAGATCTGGTCACATAAAATAATAATGATTTATTAATAACATTTAATAATTAATGTGATGCCAAACAAAATGATTTGACCATCTTTCATGTTGTAGGCTATTAAATATAAATGTTTAAAAAAATGGACCTATCATAATCGAATCTTAGAATTAAATGTAATAATGTATGTATATGTATATATATGTATAAATCTATAAAATATGATTTATGCATTTGATAGAAATTGTGTGGGGTTCATTCATGATAGTAGATCGTAAATAGATATATAAGAATCTTATATCCTGCCTGGACAGTTTGCCTTGTGATCTAGTGGTAGTTTTTTTTATCTGAAGCATTCTCTAAGTGGAAGTATAAATGAACCAATGGAAAAAAATATAATACATTTAATATAATAATAATTTAATATCACTAAAACATAAAATATATAAAACAAAGCAGCAATTCCAGTCAAAGGAAGTACAAATGAAATACAAAGAGAACGTTATTGTGTGAAAATAAGGTTAAAGATAACGCTTCAAAGCTGAGGTTCATAATTAGACGGGTTTGTCTTGACAGGAGGAAGATATAGAAAGTTCAGTTATGTGGAAATAACTCTCAATTATGTGGAAATAACTCTCAGTTATGTGGAAATAACTCTCAGTTATGTGGAAATCCAAATCTCGTTAAACATGTGTGCCACACGTGCTTAATGCTTGCAGAGTTGACAAACTTCACTAAGTTGATGACAAAAATTTCCTATATGTATGAATGTATATATGTATTTATATATTATTATTATTTGAAATGTGTAATCATTTTTGAAGTACTTTGGTGCTCTAATATTTTGCTATTTTACCTAAGTGTGAGTGCAGACGCTAAGTCACAGTCCAGACATTAGTGTGTGTGTGTGTGTGTGTGTGTGTGTGTGTGTGTGTCTTAGTTGTACCATTTGACTGTCCACATTCCTCATTGAGCATCCCTCCAAGTGTGAAGAGGGCAAAAACCAGGAGAGAAAACATGATGGTCAGCATCTCCAGCTCAGCTAATGAAGAGGCCATCTATTTACGCCTGCTCCCACAGCTGTACATTGATAGTTTCATCAGTGAGATCATCCAACATCATATGACACAGCAATTGAAAATGAGGGAGAAACACTTACTTAGCGAAGTAAAGAAGCTTGTGGATGTTGATCATCACGCAGCAGCTGCATTACACGACACACACACACACACACACACACACACATACACTTTATGTCCTCTCTGACACACTCTCTCTCTCTCTCTCTTTCTCTCTCTCTGTGTCATGCACTTGCAAGAGCTGTGAAGAGCTGACTTACACGTCCCCTCTCAAGTTTAAGTGAGATCATATTAACCGTAATTATTAATGGTGCCCTGAGCCTCCCCTGAATGTGTGTGTCTGTGTCTCTGTGTGTTTTACACAGAAAGTTCTAACTCCAAAAGCATGCATTTTGTTTTCAAGCATGTTGCTTTTCCTGGGTTTGGGTCTTAAACAGTGAGATGAAGAGCTTTGTGTTTCCTCAGTAACTGAACCTCTCTGTGGAAGAAAATGTTTTTTCTCAAGGCTTGTGATGTGGTAAAATTGTATTCTGAAACCATGCCCAACTTCAGTGTGAGCATCCAGTAAACACATGCTTGTATTCTTTTAAATGTACACTGACAAACTGAAGCTTTGCAGACTGTAACTGATAAAGGAATAGTGTTTGGAAAATGTGGAACCACAAAAAGTATTAATTCTGATTACCATTGCCATTATATGTTTTTGTGGTGATGTTTATTTTAGTATGTATGTGTCAGTAAAAAGGATGTGGGTGGGCTTATCTAGGGCATTTCTTTGACCACCACTTCTTTAAAACCAAGGCTGTCACTGCTCTTAGCATGCAGTCGATGTTCTTGTGGTACAGCTCATGTGCGTTCTGCAAAAGAATCAGGAAATAAAAGCATAAGAACAGATAGTTTGAGCGGAGATATTATAGGAGCAATAATCTTGAATTTAAAGCTTTTAGGGTACTTTTGGAACAGCAAAGATGGTGGTAGAAGCAGAACAGGAGAATGAAAATAGAGGTTTTAAGATTGTATCCCAGGGTCATAGTCATCAAAATCAAAGCAAATGTAACTGTTGACTTTGTGCATTCAGTTTTAATCTCTTAAAATTAAAGTTAATTTAGATGGTGCTTTAAAATAAATCCACAAATAAGTGTCTGGAGTGGTTTTGGGAAGCTTCTGAATGCTGACACTTGCTGCTTGTCAAACTTTTATTAATGGGTCACTGCTCATGAAAATCATTCCACACAGGAAATCTGGAGAAGTGAGAAACTAACAAACTGGAGACAGAAAGTTTAAGTTCAATTCAACCAAAGCACAAGAGCATGTTCATTAAAAAAAGAAGGATTTTAAAAGATTCAAACCACTTAACTTATAACCTATAATAATAATAAATAAAGTACTGTACATCCCAAGGTAGTTTGGATGTAGGATATAGTTTTGAATGCTTTAATAAAAAAAACAAAACACAAAAAACACCTTCTTTTGAGAATAAATGCTTGCTGATCATCCGTAAAAAGCCAAACATAGAACTATTTCTATGTCCCCTGAGATGTGCAGCTTGAATGCTGCTATTTGTAATCTTCTGAATTTTATTGTCCATGTAGGCAGTTTGTGAACTCCACACTAACTCTGTTGAAAAAATGGTGGCATGCAGTGATTCTGCAAGTCTTAAAAACCCTGTATTTGGTTAGAAACAATGCAAAAACAAAGTATTTAAAAATAAATCTTATTTTATATCTTATATGTTACGACCCGGCTCGAAATGACCGCAACAGAAGCGGGGTGTCCCGTGACTTCCCACGCCCAAACAGACACAGTCACAGCATCGGACTTTTAACAATAGTTTATTCACAACAATGGTAGTGGCAGTGTATAATTTCAGGGTGAGCTAAGGCCAACACAACAAACAAAACTCAACCTAGGCTTCGGTTCCCCTCTGACCTGTTCAAGGAAAAGAAAAGAAAGAAATAACACAGTCTGACCTCCCTGGTCTAAAAACACAGGAGAAAAGAAGGCTTCCCAAAATAATCGGCAGCTCACCCCTACTTGCTCCGCACTTCACACACATGCCCGACCTTTTAACCAAATAGCTACGGCTGCTCCGTCTGGACCTGAGGCAAGTGCACGGGAAGTCTGCCACATCCCCCCGCACCGCAGCTTTTCAGTCGCCCTTTTATAGTTCACGTCCACAGCAGGAACCAGTTACATCAGGCCGTTCCTTAGGTCCACCAATCACAGCCGAGCCCCTGCACAGGTGAATTTGCATACACACATTAAGAAACAAATAACCCACCAACACACGCACGTAACATTATACTTGATTGCAGCTATATTGTGTTAAACTAAAATCCTTATAAAAGCGAGTGTCTCGTAATTTTACAGCTATTTCAAAATACCTTCACGCACATGCATCCATGTGTAAAAATACGTTTTTATACAGCTCTGTGCAATCCTTTGAAGGTAGCATAACATAAGCAGCATGGAAAGTGATAGGAAAACAGCATCTTCCCATATACCTGTTTCACATATAGGACCTGCACAAAGGAACACACAGTGGTAAATATAACCAAACTACATAAATGAAAGATTCAAATCGACTAATGATTAAGTGACATTTAGCTTTAGGAACACAGATGTACTGAATGTAACCAATGCTACCACAAACAGAGCCGGGATAGTATGCAGAGCCAAGGTTATATGTGCTGTGTTTACATTAAAGCATTATGATTGACTAAAACACAACAGAACACAAAATAACAATATATGCAAGTGACAAATGGTAAATGAATTCAGTCCTAGCCACTTTGTCACACCCCATGATTCAGTAGCTTGTAAAGCCAGCTTGAGCTGATATAACTTGAATTTGTGGAGAGATTTTGACCTACTCTTCTCTAAAATTCAGTGCATTGAGGTTTGTGGACATTTGTTTATGTGCTGTCAGTTTGCGGTCAGGACTTTCAGTGGGCCACTGCAACACCGCTAGTTTCCGTTTATAGACATTTTGTTGTAGATTTGCTGCTGTGTTTGGCATCATTGTACTCTTTATTCCTGTCACAGAGATGACCTCGTATTTGACTCTACAATACTTTGGTGTTCAGAAGAGTTCATGGTCAACTCAATGACTGCCCGGTACCCAGCTTTTGTGGGTGGAAAACAAACCCAAATGATCATCTCTCCACCACCTTACTCGACAGCTGGTGTGAGCTGTTGGTGCTGAAATGCTGAGTTTGGTTTTTAGGCCAGTTTGGTTTGGTTTCATCTGAATAAAGTACATTGTTCCAGAAGTCTTGCAGTTTTCTTCAGATGCAGCTTTGCTAGGATAAGCTAAGCTAAGCCATGCTGCCATGTTCTTTTTTACTGAGAGTGAACCTTTCCAAACAAGCCATACTTAGAGTCTGTAGAGTCTGAGATGTAGCTCTTAGATTTCTTTGAGTATTGCATGGTTTGACTGTGCAATGCTGGGATTTGCTTGGACATCCACTCCTGGGGAGATTGTGGCATTGTGTTTACACGCACCTGAATAGGCCAAACCCGCAAACTGTAAAAACCTCTGCTTTGATATAGTTGTTCACGCAGATAATAATGTAAACAAGTTATCTTTCATTAGTTTTTCTGCATAAAATCATGGAGTAAACTTAAAGCTTGCAAGAAAATTCATGAAATGTAGTTTTATTTGCCCCAAAATAAGTCTTTCAAAAGGCTTCTCTTAACCCTCATCTCTTCTCCTATTACACTTCGGGATTCTTTTCATGCCGTGTCTTTCATAATATCTCTGAAACTGGCCTGCCTGCATTCCAGAACTGTCACCCACTGAAAAAACATTTGGAGCATTACAAAATGAATAATACAACAAAGCAGGCTCTTACCTCCTGAGCAGCTGAAATCCTGCTGCAACAGTGCAAAACCATTTGGACTCCTTAGCTCCCAAACACTCAGAGGAGAAGAGATGATGCAACACAGTGGTGCTAATGGTACTCCATATAGTCACATATGATTGCTTATGAGCTGTGCACCAAAAACAAGCTATATGGTGTCTCTTTCTAGCCCAGAAATGGCTGTTCCATGATTTCCTGACTTTGATTTATCAGACCAGATTACAGCTTTCCACTTCGACTCAGTCCACCTTAAACGAGCACATGCTGACAACAGATGAACATTTTTCTAATTCACTCATTCATTCATTCTTAATAATATTGCAGGGTCTTCACCTTACAATATAATCTAAGAAAACTGGTTCAGTCTTTAACCAAGAAGATCCTATGAAAGCGTATTTGTTAGCAACAGGAATTTAATGTGAGGAGTTGTGATGTGTCCTCATCAAAAGCCCAGATGAATTTTTTTGTTTGTTTAGGCCTCCTTTTGAGGGTTTATGTTAGGGCTGTTCGATATAACGATATATATCGGATGAGGATATAAAAACGTCTATAGTTTCATTTTACGCTGTCGTTTGTTTCATGATGTCGCAAAATAAACTATTTACGGCAATATTTTTTCACCATTTTGATGGTCACTGTAGTGGCTATATTAATTTCGTAAAGTTCTCTCTTTCTCTTATATTTTATATAACCACACTATGGACAGACAAGCGCCTGTTTTTATGCGTTGTGGTTAGCAACAACGATGGTAACACCATCGCGTGTCCGCTTGTTTATTTTCCACATAAACCTTTCACAATAAAGCTCAAGATCCTGTTGAGACTTTTCAAAATAAACTGAATCACGTGAAATAGCAGATTGTTTACGGATGAGAAGTAAAAAAGAGCCGCCAGGTGCTAAAAAATAAACCTTAGACTCAAACGTTAGAACAGGCTTTTCCCCGCAGCACGCCGTGTAATAAATACTCAGAAAACGACGGCTGTTACAACTTACTCTAAAAATGTATCGTTTCATGCGTCGGTTAAAACACTCGACTCCAGGAACATGACGCGCAGCTGGAAACACTTCCAGCAAGACGAGCTGCCCGAGATTCACAGAATTTACAGAAAATGTTACATTTTTGTGATTTATATCGTTATCGGACGATAGAATTCTTATATCGGGATATGAGATTTTGGTCATATCGCACAGCCCTAGTTTATGTGTAACCTGTGAATATTGGGGTGCTTTGTTTATTTTTTAAATGTGTCACATGTATTTTGTAACTCTTTGTCTCACAAAGTAGTTTGAGCTACTTTCTAAAAGCATCTTTAGTTGCTCCTAGTTTAACTCCTGGCTCTAGTTTCTCTAATACTACCTGAGCATGTCTGTGAAGATGCCCCTGCTTTTCAGTAATCACTTTCAGTCACACATTTTCCGGTTATATCAATCATAATCCTCGTGACCCGAGACCATGTGAAATAGGATTACATCCTTGCCACCCACACACACACAACCCTCCCACACACAAACGCACTCTTTGAAGTGAAGACTGATATGGCGGGAGATTTGTCCTTTTATAGCGAGTCAGATATTAATGTTCGTTTAATTGCCTAACATGACTGAAGGAATGAGGTGTGTGTATGAGTGAGTGCTGTCCATGTGCACAAGTTGTGTAAGCTTATTAGCAGCGCCACTGGTCTGAGGAGGAGATTGAGGTTAGTCTAAGCCCTAATCCTCGTGGACCTTATGCTTGTTATACAGCGACAAAATCCTGGCTCCACCCCTTTTGCAAAGACACACAAGAACACACACATACTCTCACACACTCACACACACGTGCGTCACAACAACACAGTTTCCCTGCCTCCTTGTTTACTGCTCAGCTCCATCTCAACTCTTCCTCTCTTGTCTCGCTCTCAGGAGGAAAGCGAAAAAAGGGGAGGAAGAGGAGGAGGAGGAGGTGGTGGGCACTGTGGAGTAGTTTCCCAGTCGTCATGACGACCTCACACCCCACCATCCTGCTATCTTCTTGTTACCACGGTGACCTGATCCCGTTTCATCTCCGCTCTTCTTGATGATCCGGATTGGCTCGATAAATAAGTGCGATCCGGGAGTGCCTCTTCTTATTTCAGGAACGAGCTTGCGGACGCGAGAGCAGATCCCACGCAGGGACGCAGATTGGAGGACAGGACTGGGAATGCTGTGGGAGTAACTCCGGAGCGTTGCCTGGAAACAGCAGCATGCCAGTACAACAGATAACTGTGGTTCCGTCCAGGGACATAGCCAACAATGGCAAGAGTGCTCTTCGCTCCAAAGACAAGACCGAGGTGAGTCTCTGACCTCGAAATTTCACTAAGGGTGAGTAAAGGCTTTGTGTGACCGTTGTGTTGTTGTTGTTTTTTTGGTTAAGGCTTAAAAGTAGCATAAAGTTGGTGATTTAAGATTGCAAGAAAGTTGTTTCTGTTGTCAGAGGGCTGAGGTAAATCGATTCAGTATTAATCTTGTGGACATTGTGTGTGTGTGTGTGTGTGTGTGTGTGTGTGTGTGTGTGCGCGCGCGCTTCTGTGCGTGTTTTTATCAGCCTTCAGTTTCAGTTCCCAGGCTTTTCAGCTCACTCACTAAACAACACACATGTACAGTATAGATGTATCACAGATCCTTCACTTGGGGTTTGGTGCTTTCAGCTTTGAGGTAGAGCCTGACATCATAGCTATCATATCACAGACTGAAGGATTAAATTACATCACATCAGTTCACAGCAAGTAAAATATCCCACAGTGACACATCATGGCACACACACAGCTGTAGGAGCTGATGGAGCATAGCTCATATACGTAAGCATTTTTCATGCAGGAGAGCTCGCTAAACAAATTGAATGGTCAAATTTATCATCTTGATATTTAAGCTGTATACAATTTTAATATAGCATCAACTTATCCAAAATAACATTCCATCTTAAAATACTCCTTGATATCTGCAGTTCTTCAGTTGCTGATTAAAGTTTTCCACCATCAGAGCAATGGTTTCATAATGTCAGGAATGGGCCTAAACTTGACCTCACTTCACTTCATGGTATGCTGTGGTACAAAAACTGCTACACATCTGGTCACAGGTGATAAAGTCAGATGCATAGCATAGTGCTGTATTTCTCTGACAGTACTGATAAAGAACAGGATGAGTATAATGCCCATACATTATCTAACAAATAATACTCATACATAATTTGTTGAATAAGTCTTCCCAGGCTAGTTTCTTTGTTTTTGATATCCCCCTAATCATTACAAATCTGCTTATGAAGCGAGAAATTGCTGAAATAGCTGTGCCAGCTTCCTCAGGTTGGTGCAGTGTTGTGTTTTCTTCTTAATCTTGTAGAGCAGTCCCAAAAGTATACAGACTTTTGGAAATGTTCATCATTTCATTACATTGTGGGGGTTTTTTTTGTTTTGTTTTGGGGTTTTTTGTTGCAATTTTCCTCTTTTTTTCAGTTGCAGCTGGGAACAATCCAGTGAAGAAAGTACAGTTAATGGACTCAAAGTTAATCTGAATAAATCAACCATGATACATCATGTGTACCATTACTGTTTGGTTACACCAGCGGTTTAAGGCTGGATTTGTGGGGCACTTCCACCAGAGGAACCTTATCCTGCTTCTATTGCAGAAACACCTGCAATAACTGTAATATCTAAACATTGGTGTTTGTACAGTAAGCTGTTCTGATCTTGTTTAAAAATGTATTCTACTTTTACCACAGGGATAGAATATTATTTTTGCACCATCAGTGTGATTCCTTGTTAGTGAGCTCTTAGCCAAAAACTTGTTGGCATGGTGTGCAGAGTGTCCTTAAAAGTTTGAGGAAAATGGATAAGAAAATAGCAGATGAAGAAGTGGCAGGCCTAAAAACTATCTGCAGCAGATGAACACTATCTGAGAGTCATGTACTGAAGAAATGGGAAAAAAATCGAGCAAATACCTGACACAAAACCTGAGAGATGCATCCGGACCTTCAGCAGATCCATCTACTGTTGGAAGGGTGGCTGTCAAGAAGTCATTCTTTAGGAAGGGAAACGGGAAGAAAAGGTTGAGGTATGTCAAATTGCAAAACAACTGCGCTGAAAATCAGGGGCAACAGGTCTCATGGAGTGATGAATCCAAATGTTACATTTTTGGTTCAAATTACCATTACATAAGGAGGAGGTCAGGAGAGTCTAGGGCCTTTTGTAATGTGGAGGTGGAGGCTCTGTATGGTTTTGAGCTGCATTTCAGTCGGTGGTGTTGGAGATCTTGTCAGAACTGATGGATTTGCAGTACTACATGGAATAAATGGAAATACAGTATATGAAGTAAAAACAGAGTTTGTACAATTTTGGCAAGCTTGTACGTCAGAATTTAGTATAACCACTTTTGATCATCAGCACAGCCTGAACTCTCTATTTCTTGTAAGTTTTCAAGTCGTCTTCAGGAATAGTTCTCCAGGCTTCTTGAAGAACATTCAGAGCTCTTCTTTGTATGTTGGCTGCCTTTTGTTCTGTTCTCTGTTGAGAAGATATCACACTGCTTCAATAACGTTGAGGTCATGGCTCTGATCCATGACTGATGGTGTTTTATCGTCTGTTTTTCTATCCAGGTATGTTTTCACTGCATTGGCAGTGTTTTTGGTGATCTTGGTCATGCTGAAAAACGATGCTGCTGCTAATCAGACACTTTCCAGATGGTGAGATGCATAGTTGTTACATTTGGATTTCCATGTTTTTAAATGCTACGGCTTGTGCTCGTAAAGCACTGAAACACTGTTCCTTTCTACCGTTTTGATCTGCATCTTAAGACGATCTGTTTATGGTTGATATTCGGCTGAAGTTTCAACAAAAAACAAACAAAAAAATATATTGTTGGAACTAGGGCTGGGCCATATTATACCGTTCACGGTAATACCGGTATAATGTTAGGCAACGATAGGAAAATGAAATATCGCGATAGAATGGGAGTAAAACGCGCATGCGCAGTGCCTTTGTTTTCATACGCACATGGCCGATTGTTGAGTGAAACAGATGAACCAGAATTGGTTTGTAAA